ATCCCATTTATACTTTCTGCCTTTGGACTTAAACAAAGACAAAAAGTTTGAAAAAAAATGCAGTGAAGACAAAACATTGGCATTGCCTCCTGAAGGTACTCAGCCTCGGCCCTCTCTGTGATAAAGAGGATTAGGTAGCAGAGGGAGGGGGTAAGGAGACTAGAGCATCCAGCTGAGACTTTCTCTTTGATGTAATCAAAGAACAAAAACTGTAAGAACCATCTTCCCACTCTGACTCCTGCTGTTCCCTTCCAACCCTTGTCAAGCTCCCTCCTAGCCCCCAGCATCCGGGCCCTGACTTGTGGTCAGCATTGTTCCAGGAACAGAACAGGCTCCAGGAAGTCAGAATTGAAAGCAGGCTTAGAGGCTTCCGACTGAATATTCCTGACTGGGTTCATGCCTCCTCAAAGACACCTGTGAACATGCAAGGTTTTATGCTCATCTCTCTTTTCCGGGGAGATGGTGCCTAGTCTTTCTCAGATTTGCAAAGAATTCTGTGGCTTCTAAAAGCCACTCACTTTGCAGAAGCAGAAACTGAAGGTCGGGAAGGAGTGACTTCTCCAAGGATGCACAGCTCATGCCTGGCTGCGGCATCAGACTCTTCGCATCTCTTGGCAAATGCTCGTTGGATGCATTAGCAAGTTGAGGATGCCGAAGATCCTAGATCTCTGAGCTGGACGGAAGAACCTGCAAGGACCCATTCTGTCCAGCGCTCTGCCTTCGAGCGGGTGAGGGCTTCCCAGCCTTGATTTCCAAAGGAAGCTTGGAGGACCAGGGAAGCTAAGTGGCTTTGGTGATACTCATGGCGCCAACCTTTACACAGTGATCAAATGTCATGCTCGTGCAAAGCAAAGCAACCTGAGTGTGGGAAGATTTGCTCTGACCATGGGGAAGTGGGAATTTCTGACCTCACCGACCGTTGGGGATGGATGTGGTGCTGGTGGCTTGCCCTCCAAGGCACTCCCTGTTCAGATTGCGTTCTTTTCCAAACATTAGGATGATTCAAAGGTTAGAGTGTGCATCAGACCTAGTTTTTCTGTAACTTTGAAGCTTGTGTCTCCACTAGGAAGTGGAGATGCGGGGCTGTGTTTTAGCCAGCGTGTTTCTGCAGAAACTCCGTTCTTTGGGAAGTTGAAGGGCCTTTCCTCTGATTAATGGATGTGTTGACTGTGTTGGATTCTGATCCAGTCGTTCAGGAGAAGTGGTTCTCAATGAGGGGCAAGTTTGCCCCCAGGGGACATTCGCATCTGGAGGCATTTTTGGTTGTCACAGCTGGGCACAGGGGTCCGGGCGGAGACAGGGGTGGGCGTGCTGTTGGCATCCAGTGGAAGAGCTGTGATGTTGCAGAACATACCACAGTGCACAGTTCCCACAACAAAGAATGATCCAGGCCAAGTTGCCCACAGTGCTGAGGTTGAGACTGGGCTGTAGGCTTGCTTTAGGGTGGCTTCCAGAGCGGTCTGCAAGACTCCCCATAAAACCCCACAGAAAATAAGATGAAACCAGAGAGGGAGGCAAACCATAAGAGACGCCGAACTCTAGGAAGCAAACTGAGGGTCACTGAGGGAAGCTGGGGGGGAGATGGGATTACTGGGCGATGGGCATTAAGGAGCGCCCGTGATGTGATGAGCACTGGGGGTTGTATGCAACGGATGAATCACTGAACTTTACCTCTGAAACTAATAATACACTGTATGTTAATTGAATTTAAATAAAATAAAATTTTAAAAAAAACCCCACAGAACTCTAAAAGGACCCATGCATATAGTGTTGGGTTGAATGGTAGAATATACATACGCTGTGAGCTCACGTCAGCCAGCTTCCTTAAGCAAATGGCGAGGTAACCTCTGGTTGGTGGCAGAGGCCGGTAGATGTTGGGGTGGTACTCCCCGACTTTGTTCCCTGGTAGAAATGCTGCCACTTGGACTGACATTTATCAGCGAAGAGGTGCAAAGCAATCCTACGGCCTGCTCGCTAAGTCTCAGTTCTTTGTCCTCAGAGGCGCTCTCCCTGCACCTCGGATAAAAGGCTCATTGAGGCAAAGTGTCACCCAATCATCTCAGCTGGTGGCTGGACACCCTTTAGAATCAGAGCCTATGGCGGTAGCATGCAGGAGGGTGCCCCGGGCCCCATTTCCTGTTCACACATGGATGGCACGTCTCTAGTGTGTGTCAGCCACTGCGCATATCTGAAGACCACAGATTTTACCACGGAGAGCCCACGTAGCTTCCATGATGCTCCCTAGTCACAAATTTCAGCACCTAAATCTATTTCTAATATCTGTTATTGCTAAGTAGCAAACTCTCCAGTATGGATCCGAGATCAAGAGCGCCAGAGTGTGTGGTGGCCCCTCCAGAGTGGGGCCTTTTGACTGGAGGCCCCAACCCCTCCTGAAATGTGGGAGACTGATCGGGGCAGTCGGCCACCACTGGGGCAGCCTAAGTCCCACAGTCTCCCCTACATCACACTCCGTGGGAAGATTCTAAGGTACATTCCAGGGGGCAGGGCTTCCGGAAGGCCTGAAGTCTTGTTGGGAGCCAGCATGGGGACTGGAAAGAAAGACACGTGGGAAGCAGGGTGTGCGAGAGAAGCCCCCAGAGGAAGGGAAGCCAGGAGGAGTTTTGCTGCAGCAGCTCATCGGCCTTCGGTCGGCACCCTTCCAGCTTGCCCATGGCCTTGTGTTCTGAGGACTGGGAACCTCAGCCAGGGAGCTTCTCTGCACATCCCCTGTGGCTTCAACCCAGAAGGGCATTGAAAAGAGCAACCCTGGTGCTCAACAGGCTCTTCCCATATCTCAGGAGATTTGATTATTGGGGCGCCTGGGTGGCTCAGTCAGTTAAGTGTCCGCCTTCAGCTCAGGTTGTGATCCCAGGGTCCTGGGATCGAGCCCGGTGTTGGGCTCCCTGCTCAGCAGAGAGTCTCCTTCTCCCTCTGCCCTGCCCCCTACTCATGCTCCCCCCGACCCCGACTCAAACTTAAAAATAAAATCTTAAAAAAAGTAATAAAGATTGGATCATCAAAGCAAGCGTCCCTTGGAAGTTTCCTTTATAGTGCTAATCATGGGGGGATTATTTGAGGAATGTCTTTCTCCCCAACCAGACTGGAAGGTCCAGGATGCTTGGGGCTACATCTGGGGGACAGCATAGGGAACTGTGGGGAGCCCGTAGCCCTGAGTCCAGACTGAATCCTGATCTGCCACTTACTAGCTGTGTAGTTTTGAAAAAAGAGACTGCATTTCTCTGTGCCTCATTTTCCTTTCCCATAAAATGGAAACGTCGTAGCATCTACCTTAGAGGCTTGGTATGTGGATTAGATGAAGTAATGGTTAGAAAGCATTTAGCCCTGTGTGTGGCCCATACTAAGTGTTTCATGAATGTTAACTGCTATTATTGTTATTATTCACCTCTGTACTTTCAAGGCCTAGAACAAAAGCCAGATCAAAAGAGGAGGGAAGGGCACCTGGGTGGCTTAGTTGGTTAAGCGTCTGCCTTCAGCTCAGGTCATGATCTCAGGGTGCTGGGATCGAGTCCCGCATCGTGCTCCCCCTCCTCTGCAGGGAGCCTGCTTCTCCCTCTCCCTCTGCCACTCCCCCTGCTTGTGCTCTCTCTCTCTCTGTCAAATAAATAAATAAAATCGTTAAAAAAAAAAAGAGGAGGGAAAAGAGCAGTTGCCAAGAGAACATGTCAACTTGCTGCGTTGGAGAGATGGTGCGGTTTGAATTCACAGGAAGGAGAAAGAGCCGCTGAACCCATGCAGTTATCCACTCATTTATTCATTCAAAGAGCATCATCGAGGGCCTGCTCTTGCCCAAGGGCTGTGCTAGACTTGAGGGTTATGTCGGTGAATAAGACTAGCAAGGTCTCTGCCCACGTGGAACTTCCAGTCTAGTGGGGGAAACAGACCTCCAACAGATAATCGCATAAATAAGTGTTTAATTACAACTGCGGTAAGTGACAGACAATACAATACAGATGACTTAGAGGCATTTGAACAGGGAGAACTGCTATAGTCTGGGGGTCGGGCTCATGGGAAACTGGGGTTAAGCATTCAGAAAATCAGCCTGCACAGGCCAGAGGCAGGAGTTTGGTAAGAAAATGTGCATCGTTGGCCCTGGGGGGTGAGGCTCCATGAGCATTTGCACAGGTGGATGGAGGCCAAGGGTCACTGGGTGCCCTCGGACCCTCAGCTGGCATCCGTGTTCCCTGACATTGTCCAGTAAGATGGTGGCCAGGACTGCACTCAGCTAGGCCTCCAAAGTGGGAGGGAGAGCTTGCAGAGTATTACTTCAAGCCGACTTAAAGAACACATCCTAAATCTTCTGACAGCTAAGATAGTTTACTCTTCCCTTTCTGTGACCAAAGTCGCAACTAGTTAATGTCTGAAACGTGATTGAGGGAGCGCTGCACACAAACGCTTGGACCATTGACTCAGGAAAACATATGAACTGCTTGAAGGGAGTAGTAGCTATTCATAGCCAGTGGATTTTTCGCTACATAGGATTTCTCCACCACCGTAATGTGGAGGCAGTGGTGAAATGGCGGGGAGAGGCCAGGATAAGACTCATGCTTCAGTTCATGCTCTGTTGATTGGCAATCGGACCTTGAACAAGACACTCAGTGTCTCTGACCTCATTTTCCTTACCTGAATAATGGAGATAATAGCACCCAAATAGCTACCCAAATAGCACTCCATAGTTTAGGAGTGTTTTTGGCTGCAGGTAACAAACACCCTCTAACAGGGACCTAAACAAATAGACGTTTCTTTTTCTTCCGTAAGGAGAAGTCCCGGGGCAGGTGGTTTCAGCTATTGGAGCAGCAACTCAGTGATGTCAAGGTTCTGCAATTCTCTTCTCCTTTCCCTCATGGTCACAAGATGGCTGCTGCAGCTCCAGGCACCAAGTCCATATTCAGGGCAGTTAAGAAGAGAGGGTAAAAGAGGTGGAACTGCCTCTTTACCTTTTTTTTTTTTTTTTTTTAACATTTTGTATCTATGTATTTTTCAAAAATCTGTCCATGAAGAAGGAGCCAGGTATTAGTTTCCTATAGGGGGAACATTCTCATGGAGATACTGTAAGGCCAAGTGGGTCCACTTCATTTCTTGTTCTTTAACAGATTCTGTGGTGCCACCATTGTCCTGTTCAGGTTCAGGAAGCTCATTCTTTAACCCACCATCCTTGGCAAAAATTATAGTTTACCAGTGGTATTGCAACATCCTCATATGGTAGCTTGTCTTCTCGCCAAGCATCGTCAATCAAGTCCAAGATCCTTCCATCTCTCTGTACCTCACTGTCCATTCTCCTGCAGCTTTGATCTTGTCAGACCCATCTTTCCTGGGGTCCCTTAGTTTCCTGGGCGCAGCGAATGGTCCCAAATGGGAGCTTGTCACACAGCCCCGCGGTGCGTGTGTTCCCCGGAGCAGCAGCACGTCTCATCCCATTCCTGTGCTTTGCAGTTCTGCAAACCTGTAGTTACGTGAACTAAATGGGACGGCCGCCTCCCTCGCTCTGCCTCTTTACCTTTTATGCAGCTATTCTAGCAATCCCCAGCAGACTTTTGCTTTTACTTCCCTGGCCAGAGCTGTGTCCCATAGCCACCTTGAGCTGCAAGGGAGACTGGGAAAGTGAAGTTTGTTTTGTTTTGAGCTTTTCCAGTCTATTGGGTGGATTAGCCATGCAAAGCAGTGATAACACCAGGCAGTGGAGGGAGGCAGAGGAGAAGCTGGTCTTCGTTTCATGTCTGTCTTCCTCCTCCAGGCTCCGTAACTTCCCCACAGTTGTTATAGGCTCAGCGAAGACTGTGTGCGCGAAGGAGCTCTGTAATGTGCTGCACAACAAGCTAGAGGCATGATTCGGAATATCAGAGCTGCCAAAAGGGAAAGCAAGATAAACCATCCTGGAGCAGTCTGCTTTCCCCTGTTTATTTGTTAGAGAAGGTTTGGATGTGAGTTAGATCATCATTAAGCATTCTAAGCATTTGCTTTAAAACCTCACCTCTTGTGATCCCTCCGTGTTCTGTTCATTCTTTGTTCTCAGTGCGACAAGGGCCCGCCAGTTCTCTCTGCAAATAAAATCAGTGAAAAACCTTCCGGGTACATTTCAAGGCATACATGGGCACCCTGAATGCTGGCTGGGCTGTGGCGTGTGTTAATTCATCAACAGGGGGAGAAAAAAAACACCTCTGTCAATATTTGCAGGGAAGAGAAGTCTTCACGAGAAAGAAAGGCCACATTATGGAAATGGAATGTTTTATGCAGGAGATATTTTAGAATCAGGGACGGTCAATAAAGAGGCTAAGAAGGGTTAAGTACTTTGGTATAAGAATAAGGCACCGAGGAGTCTAGGCTCAGAAATAGCATGAGACTTCCATCACCTGCCCCTCCCTGCTGCCCCATGCCCTCATTGTAGGAAATAATGGTCATTTCCCTGAGACTGTTTGGTGGAAAATTCTAGAAGTGCATATGCCGAGAGGACGGAGGGAAAATCACCACGAGCCATCCCCACTGTGTCCTGTACTCTGAATGGACTGACTGTTCTGTTCATCTTCAGCCCAAAAGGAATCAGAGAAGGTGGTGAAAGTTACAGCTTCGGGGTTCAGATCCCAGCTGAAGCACTTGCTGTGTGACTTGGGCTGGCTGTTTAACCTCCCTGGGCCTCGATTCATCAGCTAGCAGAAGGGGGTGATAAGTAACATGGGTCCCTCCCTCGTGTGGTCGTCACGAGGACTAGGTGCTCCGTTGCTGTTAGCGGTGATCACACGTGAGCCGTGGATAAGCAGCAGAGCTGGCCGGAGGAGACGTGGGGCTTTCCCGGCCAGCCCCGTGAATTCGTGCGTGTGCCCAAAAGACACATCTTCTTTCCTTCCTCTTTGGTAACGCAGGCAGTGACTGTGAAAGCAGTGAGCACACTTTCAAGAAGGCCGGGGGTGACCAGGTACAGGCCGCAGAGCCCAGAGGCTGGGAATCCCAGCTTTGCCCACCGTCAGACCCACTTTGATTTGGGCCGGTGGTGGCTCCTTCCCGGTGTGATCCCGGAGAAGGTACCTGGCCTCCTGTGTGAAGGAGAGTTGGGCAGTGCTCCCGGTCGGGGGCTACCCAGATGATTCAACAGGACGGTGCTTTCAAACAGTTGGCACCCTGCTGGACACATAGGAAGGGTTCAGTACATGAATTTAGCAACCATAAATCAAAAGCGGCCCGCGGCTGAGGGCTCCCAACCATCGGTGCCAGAATCCATCGTCCCTGCCTTTGCTGTACCCCTATCCCTCAGTTACCATGCAGGGTTGGGGGGTGCGGGGGTGCGGGCAGAGAGGGGGCTCCAGGTGAAACAGCATCCTGGCTTCTGTCCGGAGAGGAGCGAGTTACCTGTTTCAGGGGCTCAGGAGAAGGAGCTGCACGTGCTCAGAGCATCCTCTCCCCTTTGGAGTCAGCCTGTCTGCAGGAAGCATACTTTCTACCTGCCCTGCACCCCAGATCCCAGCATTTTGCAGGGGCGGGCCCCCGGGTGCGTGCGTCGGAGGGAGGGGACAGGGAGAGGCCTACAGAGGCCCGGCTGTGTGCCCAGTGACGGGGTGGGCGAGGTCCTTCTGCAGTAGAGACTCAGCCACCTCCAGCATGGCCCGAGCCTGTGTCTTCAGTCTGGTGCCTGTGGAGGTGAGCTGCCATTGCTGTCCCTCCTCGTGACGCCCATGTGCTTTGGGGGCGGGGGTGGGGGTGTGTGTGGTGAGACAGGGGTGTTGGTGATGAGCCCCAGCTCCGTGGGTCCCAGGCCCCAATCTACCTTCTTGGCAGTGAATGCCACAATGTTTAAATCAGAGGATTATTGTATTCGAGAAATCTGCAGGTTATTAAAATATAGAACCCTTAACCTTTGGGGCAGAGACAGTGTATTTTTTTCACTTGTCCCCAGGGCCTAACATAATAGGCACCCAATAAACATATGTTGAACAGAAACCTGAACATTAATTTCAGTAGTTGGTATGCAAAAATCACATAGACACAGAGATGTTCGTTGTAGCATTATTTATAATAGCAAAAAACTATTTTTTATAGTCTGGTTGAGAAACCTGTGTGTGGTATTGAATAGGATTGAATAGGATGAAATACTATTATTAGAGTTACCCCGAAGAGCATAAAAACACGGAAAAGTGTTTATGGAATGTAAAAGAAAAAGCTACAGTTGAAATCTAAAAATACTGCGATTAAAACAATATACACGTGTAACTCTCGATAAAGACGGGAAGGTGCATTTAAAAAGAAAGTGATTCTTGTATACAATTAGCGGGCTTATGTGCAAGCAACACTTGTGATAATGTTCTACAGTGGCGCTAGGATATTTTTAAAGTCTTTTAAAGAAACCCCTGCAGCACTTTCTAAACAGATGAGCCAGTTTGCTATTTTCCAGGGTCTATGTGGTGAGCTGTGAAAGGCCTCATTGGATTGGGGGCTTTTGAAAATTTCCAGCTCCCCACGTCCCAGTGCAGACCTGGCAAAATTATTCTTGGCAAATGCACGCTCGTCTCAGAACTCTCAGTGCAAAGAGCCTCCAGCAACCAAGGTGCTATAATCTGTACTGGGAAGACTTCGTCAACAGAGGGGATTTGACAGAGGGCTTTTCAGGCTTTATTACTAAGTCTGTTCCTTCTCTTCTCCCCGCCCCACACCCCAATTTTAGTAAACAAGCCAGGCGTGTAGTTTTTCTGTCCCCCTGGCCTGTGGGGTCACAACACGCGGAAGGAAGCCTTGCACTGGCCCCTTCCCTCCCCTCTGCTCTGTCCCTGCAGCTGAGCCCAGACCCCTGCGCACCCCCCCAACCACCCCAGCCACCCTCACTCCCCCTCCCACCACGGCACCCCAGCACTTGGGGAAAGCGAACCGTTGCCCATTCTCACACCTCTTTCCGCTGGACGGCCTGTGGCCTTAAGGAGACAGTTTGACTCTTTGTGAGACCTGCTGGTGTCCTGCCCAGGTATTTGGTTGGCTTGCTCCTGGAACTGCAGCTTCGAACTCTCCAGGCCTTCATTTGCCACAACCACACGCTGGGACACCGAAATAGGTCTCTGTGGAGGTCCAGGTGGGGCTGGCCTGGGCTCTGCCCCACCAAGAGCACCCCAGTGCCACCAGGGTGGGCCGAGGCCATTTGGGGCCCTTCCTTCTGCGCAAATCTCTGGGCATTCCACTTAGGTGAGTGAGAGCAGACAGCCTGTCTGGGACGCAGTGTGTACCTGGGCCCCCCTGGCCTTGCAGGAGAAGCAAAACTTTCACTTCTCAACTCTGCCCCTGACCAAGGCAAGTTCAATGATGGCTGTCCTCTGTCAGCACCAGTTAGGTCCGTGCTAAGCCTTCTGCATGTTTTCACCCCTTGTGGACTTCTCCGCAGCTCTGCAGAGACGAGGCCCAGAAAGTTGTTGGGCCTGGGCAAGTTATTGGCCCGGGGTCCCCCAGCCTACAGTAGGGAAAGCCAGCATCCAAACGCAGATGGGCTTCCTTCCCCAGCTGAGGACTTAATCCTTATCTGGCCGGGTCATGATCTCCTTGGGCCTGGCTTAAGCCCAATTCTCTCTCAAAGCAGCAGAGTGACTCTACCTTGTTCCTTTCTCCATAAATCCGAACTGCAAAAATTCTGAACACTGAAAGTTTGGTTTCTTTTTTTTAAACATGCTTTTTAATCTTTTTAAAGATTTTATTTATTTGACAGAGAGAGGGAGAGCACACAAGCAGGGGGAGCAGCAGAGGGAGAGGGAGAAGCAGGCTCCCCGTCGAGCAGGGACCCCGATGCAGGGCTCGATCCCAGGATCATGACCTGAGCCAGAGGCAGACACTTAACCGACTGAGCCATCCAAGCGCCCCATCATACTTCTAGCTCCAAAACATAGATAGTGGCAAAGCCTGCCCAGAGCTGCCAGGAGATTCTTTGCGGTTTTGATTTATCTCACTTATTGTGAATGTTCTATGTTTTACTGGGGAAATGTGAGTCGTGAGCTGGATTGTGGGTCTGCCCCAGAACCTGCTGGAGGTGTGACACAGCCCCTGGAGTATATACACTGCCGTGTTTCTCTAGAACCTGGAAAATTCTGAATTCTGAAATGCGTCTGTTCCCAGGGGATTCACATGAGGCCACGGAGCTGGATAGAGCTGCCCACACACGCTCACGCCCGCCTGCTTAACCTCGCCCAGCGGGAAATCTGTAGGCAGTAATAAATGTCAAAAGCCGACATGTACACGCTCTCTGACTCAGCAATTCCCGTCCTAGGAATTTCCTCTAAAGGTTGGAGAATTTAGGATATTCCTCATGATGACAACCTGGAAATAGCCTAAATATCCCAAACTA